CGTGCGAATCATGTTCGCTTCAAAAAACGTGCGAATCATGCTCGCTTCAAAAAACGTGCGAATCATGTTCGCTTCAAAAAACGTGCGAATCATGCTCGCTTCAAAAAACGTGCGAATCATGTTCGCTTCAAAAATCGTGCGAATCATGCTCACTTCAAAAATCGTGCGAATCATGCTCACTTCAAAAATCGTGCGAATCATGCTCGCTTCAAGAATCGTGCGAATCATGCTCGCTTCAAGAATCATGCTCATTTCAAGAGCTACACCCACTTCAAGGGTCCCAAGAAATTCCCTCACTTCAAGAATCCCGAGAAACACCTCCATCTCAAGAATCCCGAGAAACACCTCCATCTCAAGAATCCCGAGAAACACCTCTATCTCAAGAATCTCAAGAAACATCACCACTTCAAGGGACCCAAGAACCTCATTCGTTTCAAGAATTATATTCTGCAGTTACACACACATTATCATTACAAGAATTACAAGAGCCACCACCAATATTAATACACCCATTGCAATTGCAAGAATCATTAACAAACATTGAATATCCTTCTACAACTCCATCATTAACCGCACAAATTTTAATGCTTTCTGATGGTACACGTGACTTTACTCGTGAACCCTTGCCTTCGTACTATTTAGCAATACAAGACATGCCTCCAGTATATAATCCAAATAATGACAATAATGTCAATAATGTCAACAATGTCAATAATGTCAATAATATCGAAGAAATAACCATAACAATATCCCCTAATCAAATAATTGATCCTTTACTTCAACCTCAAGAAAATACACCATTAATTAAAAATTTTTATGTTTATGGCTTTATATTTTTACCATTTTGGTTTATTGGTGCTTGTTATGTATTTTCAACTGATTCACAGTATCGAAGATGGGCTAAACGATGTTTTTGTAATGTGTTGGTTGTTTTAGCTGTGCTTTGTTATATAATTGTTTCTTTAAGTCGCACTGAAGGAAGGTGGACTTAACCGAGGAAATTTAAATTTTAATCGTGGATTTTCGGAATACTTTATACGCACGTACGTACATACAGAATGACACAAGGTAAATTATATAAAATTATAATATATATATATATATATATATATGTATATATATATCTTGCCAATTTTCTAATATCAACATAAATCACTAATTTTTTTTTTTTATGTATAATCAGTAGGCTATATATTTTACATGTAAATCGATTTTGAACACAATTTTATGCCATGTTATCCCACTCTTCTTTAGTAACCGTCGCAAAAGATAGCAAAGATAACTTTTTACAAGCTAATACCATATGCAAAGATATAATTTTTCCTTATTGATAAATTATATCTAAAAAGAAATGTATTTATTAATGCAGCAATTATGCGTGTAATTATGCACGTAATTATGCGTGTAATTATGCATGTAATCAAGTATAAAAAAAATATATATGATT